GCCATCGGTTGCGCATAAGACCAGTCTGTCCGGGGACCCCCTCTGCATGAACGCTTGTTAAAAGGAGGGATTCCCCCAGCTGAGGCGTGGTAGCGCTATTTGCTTGTTATCGTTTCATCCCAAACTGGGGGCTAACTTCAACCATGGCTCTCGACCACCAAGAGCGTACCAAAAGCGAAGCGGTTTTGGCTCATCCCCTACTCTACGAAGCAACAACCCCTGATGTTCTGGTCGACTTCAATGGCCAAGATGATCCCTACCGTTCCATCAATTGGCCTTTTCGGAAGAAGGCCATCACGACGATCCTATATGGAATGACTACATGCTGGATCACCTTTGCGTCGGCGATCTATTCGGCGGGGATGCTGCCGATTGCGCACGAGTTTGGCGTTTCGAAAGAAGTATCCACATTGGGAATCAGCTTGCTGGTCTTTGGCCTCGGGCTAGGACCATTACTGTGGGCACCTCTGAGCGAGGTTTATGGTCGTAAAATGGTCACAATCTTGGTATGTGCCCTGTTATGCGACCGTTATTCTAGACGTCAAGTCACCAAGTTCAGTCATTCGAGCTGACTTGTGATACAGCCTTATTTCATAGCAGGAATTTTCTCTTTCGGAACGGCAACGGCAAAGGATATCCAGACATTAATGATCACCCGATTTTTCTCTGGATTCTTCGGCAGCTCTAGCGTAGCGATAACTGGCGGTGCAATGGCGGATATCTGGAGGCCAGAACATCGCGGTGTGGCCATCGTCGTTTACTCGGTCACTCTCGTTGGCGGACCTTGCCTTGGCCCCATCATTGGCGGGGCCTTCGTGTCTAATAGTAGCCTAGGTTGGCGCTGGACGGAATACCTGACGGGGATATTGATGGTAGTGCAATCTGTGCTGGACTTCTTGGTTCTTGATGAGAGCTATGCACCCGCATTGTTGGTCCGAAAAGCACGCCGGCTGCGGCTGGAGGGCAAGAACTGGGCTCTGCACGCGAAGGTGAGCAAGCGCAGATGCTGAGAGAGTTGTTGCTTCTCCGAGTTGATTTCATTCTAACTAAACAATAGCACGAAGAATGGGACGTATCTATTTCCGAAATGTCGCAGAAATATTTGATCCGTCCTTTCCAGATACTGAACACCCCAATTGGGCTGTTCATGTCGATCTATGGGTCTTTCGTTTACGGTTGGTAGTAATTTTTGGCAAGGGTTTTGGATGCGGTGACTTACGATCTCGACAGCAATTTTATATGTAAACCTCGAAAGCTTTCCCATTGAATTCCAGGAGAAGCGCGGCTGGAACCATGTTACCGGAGGCCTTCCCTTTGTCGCCCTCCTCGTGGGAATCTTCGCCGCGGCTCTAGCCAACGTCTATAACAACCGATACTACTTTAGAAAGCTTCGCGAGAATAATGGCAAACCCGTGCCCGAAGCACGATTGCCTCCGATGATGGTTGGAGGGGTTGCCTTCACGGGGGGCTTATTTCTTTTCGCCTGTCAGTCCCTAACTCCCCGATATGATTTGTTGTGCCACATTGACTAGATGTAGGGACCTCATCGCCTCACATCAACTATTGGCCATCACTCATTGGCATAGCATTAACGGGCTTCGGGTTTACCACCATCTTTCAGAGTTCAATCAATTATTTGGTTGACACATTCTTGCGCGTCAGCGCGAGCGCAGTTGCGGCCACCACTCTTCTTCGATCCATCCTAGCAGGTGTATTCCCTCTATTTGTGCAGCCGATGTTCCAGGGCATCGGAGTGAGTTGGGGCATCACGGTATTTGGGTGCGTTGCGGCGGTCTTGATCCCCGTTCCATTTCTCTTCTTTGCATTTGGCAAGAGAATTCGTGCAAAGAGTCGATGGAGCAATCATGGTGCATGATCCTGGATTCGCACTCATCGACCCATGTGTTGTCTGGGGTCTCGGGTGGCTTTTGAAGACCCTCCGTTTAACTTGTTTTGCTTCTTTCCGGTACCTGCTAGACTCTACCTATGCGAGATGCTGTTGATAGTCATTGGGATACATAGAATGTGATGATGGCCGTCTCATATCCTAAGAGTGTGGACGTGACCAACCTATAATGTATGCATGCAAGTATGATGAGATAGTTAAGCCACAGATACCATAATGATAACTTTTTTGAGATTTTTATTGTAGGATCGTGGAAAGTCCTATGTAGGCACTGATATTATCTAAGGATGGCACGGCCTCTGGTTGGGCGTAAAGTGACCTGGTGGAGAAGGAATGTTGTCATAACCCAGCGCTAACCGAGCGGCTTCATCCGGATTTGCGGAACCACTCCTCGGCAAGATAGTTGTGGCGGGTGGCTCTTCGGAACCGAGCATGCCATGTGTACACATGAGTATCTTGAAGAAAACCGAGTGCAGGCTTGATGCGAAGACCTTAATAGTTAAAGCATATGCAAAGTATTCAATGCTCAATCAGTCCAGTATGTGTGGCTGGTGGATGTGGGAGCAAGTTGGCCCGCGATACCTTCCGTAACCGGATGAAAGGGTAGTAGATCAAATCAATTGGTTATGTCACCAAAGGGACGATGACGTTTATGGAAGAATCAGAGCGAAACCCCCAAAGCCAATCCAATCCCTAACTTTACTTACTTCGTTTAGTGTACCCTCGGCTTGCCGATCGGATCCAATATTAGCCACAGTTCCTCTCTCAATCAATCACCGTCCATGAACACCCCCCTTCATGCTGCACCATTATTCGGTCCCCTGTCGGTCCCACCAGATGGAACAACAACAACTTACCCCCCGGGGAATTCTGGATCCACTGGGGCTAGACTACCGTTAGTCAGTCAATTCAGTCGGCAGTGGTCGCATCATTGCCGGTTTCTTCACAGCCAAGGTACGTCATTGGAAAGGTCCGGTTTCTCGTCGCCACAAGGTCTTCCTCTTTTCTTCTTTTTTTTATCCTCCCCGAAGCCATTTCACCAGGGGCATATCCTCATATCTTCAGTCTGGGCTGTCGCCATCTATACATCATCATTATTAGCATTATTTTTACTTCTGTTTCACCGGTCTCTCAACCCGTCCAGTAAAGGAACACCTGCCTTAGATATGTCGTCCAACGGTACCACAACGAGGAAGATTGTCTGCTTCTCAGGTATGTAAAAGAACAGTAACCCCTGTACATTTGCTTGTAATGCTTGCTTTCTTGTGCCGTGGATCAGTATATCTCCACTTGGACCATGCCGCTAATCCGCGACCTATCGGACAGACTTCGATGGAACGATATTCATGCAAGACACAGGCCATGTCCTCTTCGATAACCTAGGATGTGGCGCCAAGCGCCGCCAGAAGCTCGACGAGCAAATCAAATCCGGCGAGCGCTCGTTCCGCGAAGTCTCCGAGGAAATGTGGGGTTCGCTACGGATCCCCTTTGAGGACGGCTTCGATGTGATGCAGGAGGAACTGGATATTGATCCTGGGTTCCAGGAATTTCACAAGTTCTGTATCGAAAAGGGGATTGAGTTCAATGTTATCAGTGCTGGATTGAAGCCTGTCTTGCAGAAAGTGCTGGACACTTTCCTGGGAGAGCAAGAGGTATGGTGATTTGATTTCAGAGTGGGAGTTTGGGTCTGGTTGGGTAGTGTTAACTGTTTGCCACAGGCTTCGCGCATTCAGATTGTTGCCAATGATGCAGAAATCAAGTCCGACGGGTCTGAGTGGAAGCCGATCTGGAGGCATGAAACAGAGCTTGGCCACGACAAGGCGCTGTCCATCAAAGAGGGTCGTGCGCAAGCAGCAGAAGATGCTTTGGAAGGAGAGATCCCTCTCATTATCTTCATTGGTGACGGCGTGTCCGACCTCCCGGCTGCTCGCGAAGCAGATGTTCTATTTGCACGCAAGGGCCTGCGGTTGGAGGAATACTGCATTGAGAACAAGATCCCCTACATTGGTTTCGACTCATTTTCCGACGTCAAGCGGGAAGTAGAAGCGATCATGAAAGAGGATCAGGAGAAGACCAAGGGTGTGGGCAAGCCCGCCCGATTCAACCCCCGGGCTAATATGTGGCGGCGGATTTCTAGCAGGCAGGCTGTAAGTTTATTTTCGGGTGTTGCAGATGCATAATTCATCGAAGCTGACAATATCACAACAGGTTCCGAAGTTTGTCGCTGCGACGCCATCCAACGAAGAGAAGATGTTCCTCTGGCCAGAGAGCTTCTCCGAATACCGACCAAAGAATGCGGATGATATCCGAGTGTAAGAGCCGATCTCAGTTAATGTGTGGATGATTCATTTTCAGGCGTTTGGTGGAGTGAACTGGGTACATAGATCCTAGATGTGTCCACCTGAATGTTATAATCATTTTCGTCTGGTTTCGCGTTATTTTGGATAAGATTGAGAACTGGGACGGCGTTAGGTTGGATGACACACCATGTGAGCTTGCATTTGAGTGCTTGGTGACAATTAGTGGAATGAGATAGTGATTATTACATGATATTGAAATCCCGAAAAGGAAACTGATGCGAAACTCTCATCGGCAAGCCATGTGGCATCCAGGGCTAAGCAATTGCCAAGAGCCGACAAGCTCTGGAGTATATCCCCTGAGAATATTCGTTACTGGATTCCAACCTTGGCACTTATATTGCTGCCTTGTTAACAGAGTCGAAATGAAGCTGCTTGCCGATACGAGTAGTCCTTGTGGCACAGCCCTCACGTGGATAATATTTTGCGCCAATAATCAGGCTTATATTCTCTTAGCACAGTCGCACACCCTGATTGATATATTTTACCCAATCGACATGATCTTTTCAGCGTAATACCCTGATCTTGCAACAAATGTAATGGCTGATGCCTAGTGTGGCTGCAGCACAGCCTCGTAATCTGACCCTCCCGTCGCGCTGACTGCCTAATCGGGGCAAGTGTTGTCAAATAAGGCCGAAACCTCCAGCTTAGGTGTGTAGTAGTAGAGAATACTATAAGAGTACTTTGTCCGGATGGGCGCTGTCTCACCCAATATTCCACTTATTTTCCACGTCTCACGCCCTACAACCTCGTGGCATTGTTCCTAGACACCATCAGCGACAACGCTTTCCCAAAAGTTATGGATCTCAGAGCCAGCCTCGTCAAGGGTATCGCATCCGGCATCGGTCTAGCCTCAGAGAGCATATCAGCCTATAAGGCAAGTAGAGAAGAGAAAAAGGCGAATGCATCAGACACAGATAATACTGTCAGAGAAGCGATTACGGAGGATGCCGACGAAGTCGAGCAACTCATCAACGAACAACATGAAGAGGAATGGGTTCTTGACGAGGCGCAAGATGAATTAGCTGGGGATGAGCGGCGTGCCGACTCAGAACCTGCCGGTGGTGATATCGAGGGCTTAGCAGTCTCGTTTCTTCAGAATTATCCCGCTCCACCTCCGTACGCTCCCACGTCGGATTCTCCCAGACTGTCTTGTCCTGTGGTGCTGCCTCAGCAAAGGCCGAAGTCTCGCAAGCGAGGTTTCATTCGAGCCTATGCTCCTGTTCTGGAGGATTTTGGTATCGACAAGTCTATATTTCTTGACTTTCTGGAGACGTCGAACCGAGCGTGTCAGGCGACTCCATGGTTGCAAGCTATTAATTTGGCTTCTATTGGGACTATGTTCATTCCTGAGCCTATTTCGATAGCTGTTTCGATTTTGATACAGTTGGCGACTGATGTGGCTATGGCTGTTGATGGTAGGAGAAGGTAAGGCTTGTGTGATATGGTGTGGTGTTATTTTGTGTGATTCTGATGCATAGTATATAGGACGAACAAATTCTTTGACAAGATCAATGATGAGTTCTTCCGCCCTCGTGGCCTTTTCTGTTTGGTTATGACATGGAAGCCCGGGTCTGATTCGCCTTACGCTACCTTCGATATGAACTCCACGATATCCGCGGCCATCGAGCATGGTGGAGCAGGGTTGATGAACAAGGTTCGGCATAGACTCAAGTCATCGGATGCTAAGACGCACGGCGTTTTGCCCTTCTCGGAGTGTGCCCCTCTTATCTTTCCCGACCTGGATGAGTTAGCAGAACATCGAGGAGACAATCAGTCGAAACTGAAGGGTACGAAGCGAAGAAAGGAGTTCGTCTCGGATTACTGGGACCGGAGGTCACAGGCCAAATTTGTATGTTATTGGGTCCATATTGATCGTATGTACTGGAACTGACCTGGGGATTTTAGATGATGAAGAACCCCGATAGTGCTTTGAGCCAGGGTCATAAGCCAACGTTCACATCACGTTATGCCGACCCTAGCCATCCTGCCAGCAGCGGCTCCTTGGTCGGCCTACTTACGGGTGGACATATGACTGGTGAGAGATTAGTGCAACTTCGAAGTGGCGGAATTGGAACCGATAGAAGAAGAGGTCTCGGCAGGCAGTCAATTGAATCGCCACCTTTGTCCCTTGGAGGGCTGGCGGCTGGTATTCGTGCAGCCAGGTTCGGACGATTACCGATGGAAGATCCACAAGGGCAGGATGAGATGCACCGCGAAGAGAGTTATCAGCATTCACCTGCTCATACTTCGTATGGTGGCCAAAGCGTTCCTGGTCGTGGACGGGGAGTCAGAGACATTCGCCAGACAGGACCTCTAGGAAGTCCCATTGGAGGAATCAAGAAGCTGCTGAAAGAGGTACTTATGATACATTTTCCGATGGCTTACAGATGCTAACATGATGGCAGAACATTATTTATCTCATGATTGTCAATATGCCTTCGGAGGAAGATATGGAGGCAGCTCGGCGGATTCTCCAGTCGTGATCACTGTTTTGATTTTGCATCGATCAGTCGCTTTATTCTTTAGCGGGGCTTGGTAATTTTGCGGCTTTATTGATATTTTTTGGTGCATCTAGCGATGCCAATATAATAGCAAAGACGTGCAGAGTAGTGATTCAGACCGGTTAGGGTAATGAGTACCTGCATCGTTTCTGTTGTCATTAGGCAGTTATGGGATGCGACTAAAATGGTTCCTTGGAAGCCCGGCTCTTAGTTGTCACACAAAATGGCAGAGAACTAGCAGCGATTGATGATCAATGCATGACAGGTAAGTGATGCGCTTCTGATCAGCGAAGCATAGCGTCCCACACTTCGTCACCCACACCTACAGAATAGCTCATCCAGTGGCACAATTGATCAAGCTCCATAAGCTTGCTATTGCGTCAGAGAGTAATTACCAAAATGCAGGTCTATGTCAGCCATTTAATAAAAAGCCGTCTGCGTAAGTAGAATGCATGGGACGCGGCTCATGATAAAAGAACACGAATTGAGCTGAAGATGTGCCAGCTGGCCGAGACTTCTTTATAGTATTGATACTGGATGAGCTAGAGGAAGTGCACCGTGTATTTTCATTCACAATGGAACGGAAAAACTGGATTGAAAAATAAATTGCCTGTGTTGCGTTCATATCGGGCCAACAAAAAGTATGGTGTATGTAGTAGTAGTAGGTGCAGAGAAATGCAAAAAGAAATCTCCCCGACTGGGAGTCGAACCCAGGTCTCCCGCGCTTGTTCCCGAAAGGGAGTGACAAGCGGAAATCATGACCGTTAGACCATCGAGGACTTCTTATTTGCTGGAGATTTATTTTGCTTTATGTTCTTGACAGATATCTAAATGACTCGGACTACCACGCTCAACGAGGCAGCATACCATCACCCATCTACAATGTACGTTGTCGCTTGCGTCCATATAAGATGAATATAATCTAGAGTGTATCTCATCCCGTATTCATGATCTAGTTGTTTCTTTAGTCACCTGAGTATCTCGTGCATGAATAGTACTATCAGAACCTGCTGGTATGGTTGCCGGATATATATAGTGGCAACCCTAGCCGCGCAGCGATTGTCACGATGCAGTGGATCATTCAAGATACTGTTATCGTCATCACACTAGAAAGACACCAATCCACAGCATGAGCCATCTGTCATTTATAAAATTTAGTCAAGTTGAGATCAGAATTGGTGAGGTTTGTCAATGAATACACTGTCACATGATTATGGCCTTGCTTTCTGTTCCCTTTTCTCTAACCGCGCCTCCCCCTCTCCCTCTCCCAAACACTCTACTGCCATCCGCGGAACTAATCGGCTACCTACTTTCCTTGGTCTGGCTCAGGCCTTTTTTCCTGACTATCATCCACGATGGCGGAGAGTAAAGCTCGGAAGATACTGAGGTTGCTGTACCTTGAAGTGGTCAGAGGAGAGCACAGTACACCCTTCGTCTCTGATTCGCCTGGCTCAGAAGGGGACGTCATGCCGCTGTTTCTGCAAGAACATAACATATGTGTATCTTCTTGGGATCCTGAGTCAAGCTCTGAATATCCGTCATCTGTACCCTTTGTCCCGCGTTCTCGGTCGTTTCTACAAGCCCACCCCACTACCTCTGATCTTCCCTTCCCCAAGTACATCCCACTGGCCGACAGAGACGAGGCTCGGAAAAAAGGGTGGTTGGTGACCGACGAAGAGAACTGTTCCTATGAGGCTGCTCTTTTTTTTACCCAATATGCCACTGCCAATCGAGTCTTCCACCGTCCGTACTCATCACTGATGGATTTCTGCGAAGTACGCAAAATGACGTGAGTACCGTATATTCCAGCTGGATTACTGATTCAGTCATTAAAGCTTGCTAATCTTCAGGCCACCGAATCCTTTCATGAGTTACGCTACACAAATTGGACCGTGTCCATCTACAGGACGCTGCTGGGGCATCCGTCTTTTCCTTGAGCCTCAGATTCGCGATACTCCACCACTTCCCCATATTGCTGCAGTGGCTTACCAGCCAATAAATGCCAGAGATGGTTCGATTTTGGGTGGTGAGCTCGCTACCATCCTCAATATCATGCGTAGTCGCGTCAAGGAGTTTAAAGTGGAAAGTGAAGAGATGATAGAAGGTCTTTCTGATATGAATGAGCAAGAGCTTGAAGATCTTTCCCAGAAGAGTCCAGCCTTCCCAGATGAACAGAAGTTTCCATTTCTACTTGTTTCATTTGTGGGGCCACAGCATGCACGACTGCTTTGTGCCTCCATGTATACACACGTTCTGATCATTCACGTGTCGAAGCTTTATAGCTTCGAGAGAGAGCAGGATGCTCCGCTCGATCTATTTATGTCTTGGCTGTTTGCGCGTCCTGTGGCGGGAGCCTGACGGAAACCCTTCTCAGGGCATTACGAATTTCTATCTACTAATTACCGACTAATTTAATGCATTGTGCTACGTTGCTTTGGTCATTGCGCAGTAGTAGCTGGTCATATACAATAGAAAGATTGGGGCGGCGTCGTCCGGCTGATTTTGGGTCAGTACTCATTCAGGAGCACTTGTGCGGATTGGCGAGCATATTACATGCGGTGGCAGTAATAAACCTTCTATCGGAATCTTCTTCTTCGACTTTGAAACTTATCCACACCGCACAACACAAGCTCGTAGGGGAAGTCACGAACAGACAACACGTAGACTTGAAAAAAGGATAATCCGATACCCTATCACATCGAGAAGACCCAACCTACCTATGGTGTACCGAATGAAATGTTTTTGGGTCTTTTGCTCTTCCATGGTCCCATACTATTTTCACTAGAGGTTGGATTGAAAGGCACTGAGTAGGATACAGCAAAAGAGTAATGATACTTTTACATCCTAGCTACAATTACTCTGTCTTCCTCCCTTCATTTAGAATGGCTGGTTATTTGTGGGAGAGTAAAAGAAATAAAGTAACAAAGAAGTGAGATCTTATCCGCAGTAATTTTCCCTTTGTTCTAAAATGACTAAGTTAAATCCATAAAAGTGCGATAATGATCAGGGTATAGTTCCTCATGTCGTTTGGCCGGCATGTGTCCCAGGGGCCAAAACGGCGCATGTTCGCGAACCCAGCTCTGGAGAGATAGCCCGGCCCCCTCCCCCCTCGCCCCCTGCATGTACCTCAACCACCCATCATCATAACTAGAGACACTGATATAGAGCTCGGTACCGTGCTTGGACAAGAGTACTCGTGAATCAGCAGCCCCCGCTGCCGCGGGAAAGCTCTTTATCCAGGCGATTATTCTGCCACTGCTCCCTGCACGGACCGTGCGGGCGCATCTAACATCTAACAAGGGATCAAAGATAGATAGAAATCAAAAGAAGAGGTCTTTTCATTGTGTTGTGTATCTTATGTGTTACTAAGACTACATAAAGCGTGAAGAAAACGGATGATAATATCATTCTGCATAGAAGGAATAAGGAAGGTGCGGCGCGCCCGCTGCAAACACCCCCTTTCGGCAAGGCGACGTCCCGACACCGCTACGCTTGCGGGAGATACTGGTTTGGCTGGTTAGCCGCGTTGGCAGCCTGGGCGTCTTGGGCTTGAGGTTTGAGTAGAACGACATCTTCCAGCTGTCCATCTATGTAGGCCACAAGTCTTCTTTCGCGCTGCGGTGTGCTGAAGTCCGCTACAAGCTTCTTGGGTGCGAGGATCCATAGGCGTTGAGCAGGCTGCGGGCCCAAGTCTGAGATGGCATTCAAGAAAGATAGAAAGGCAGTATTGACTGTCGACTCAGTTGCACCGCGATTGATATCGTTAATAGTGAGGTTACGAATAACTTCTTGCTGTTGCATGGCCATAACCCTAAACAGGCGGTCTGTGCCACCCCAAACCCACCCAGTCGTCTGCGCCTGCCTGTTGGAGAAACATGCGATGTATTCATTGAATGAAAGTGAAATCAGCCACTGGTTGGCCTGCGCCATATAATGCGAAATCCCGAGGTTCTGGACATTCAGCTGGTTTGGCGGTACAATGGGGGGAAGGAGGGTCCGGAACAGGAGATATTGCCGGTAGCTAACTTGCGATGCCGAATATAACTTCACGTTCACCCGGAGTGTCTGCTTTGCGACTTTTTCTCTTCTAGCTCGGCGTTCCCAGTCAATTTACTGTTCAGGAAGGACGAGGGCCGTCATTATGACAGTATGAGAGGGTATACCCAAGAATGAGTCTCATGATCATGATGACGAGTTGTGGGATGTAGATGACTGGGGATGCGAGGCTCAGTGAATACTCGCAGTGGTACAGCCCTTCTTGTGTTGTGGGAAAAATTCAATTCTGTTTGTTTGATTCACTTGCAAGCTCTTCGCTTCTCGTGTTTCCTTTTACTTTTCTGCCTCTTCTTTCTCCTTTCCTCTTCTTCTTCTCACCACAGCCTGCTTCCATCTCAAACGGCTCTGCCAACAGGATTAGTTCAGGTTTTATCTTTTCACACGTCGACAATCTCGTTTTAACATCCTCTCCTCCTTTTGTTTCCTCTCCCTCTCCCCACCCCCCTCTCCCCCCTATCTGTCAACCTCCCCAGCACTTCGGTTCCTTCGCTTCGTCGGAACCGTCGTGATGGTGGTGCCCGAGTCTGGCGACGTCTTGAGTCCGCCGGCCCTCTGACCGTGGCAGCCGAGACGAACAATATTCCTTGGCTAACAACCGGAACGGAGAGGCCGAAAAGCTGACCACCATAAAGACGTTCTCGCCCTCGCCGGCACAGGCCTGGCGAGCCCGCCAGGAGGAGGAACGACGGCAGCAAGCGAGAAGTCGAAAGGCTCCTCGAGGATGTTGAAAGTTGCCCGCGGAAACTCGGCCCTTGTCGATTCGACAAGGGCTTAGTGGATGCGATGCCTGGTCGACTCGATCAGGCTCCGGCGATGGATGTCACCTTGCTGAAACATTGATTTTACCCTTGGCCTGTGTCGAACCCGATCAGGCCGAGAAGTGGTGTCTGGTCGATCTCGATCAGGTTACCAATGGGTGCTGGTGCCTAGGTCGACCTCGATCAGGCTCAGCTTTCAGATATACTGCTAAAAAGTCCCTAGCAGCAAATGAGACCTGTGTCGAATTCGATTCTGTCTGAAGTGAGCGGGTTTCTGGTCGATTCCGATCAGATATCCTGCTGAGATATTTCCCTATTGGGGTTCGCGAATTCAATCCTTGGCCTGAGTCGGGCCCGACCAGGTTTCAAGAAGTGGTGCCCGGTCGTTCACGATCAGGTTACCATTGGGTGCTGGTGCCTAGGTCGAATGCGATCAGGTCAAATTTGACCGTCTCAGCTTGCAGCTATACTGCTAAAAATTTCCCAGCAGGTTTCAATTAGTGGTACCTGGTCGTTCTCGATCAGGCCACCATTGGGTGCTGGTGCCAGGTAGAATGCGATTAGGTCAAATTCGCCCGGTTCAGCTTGCGGCTATACTGCTAAAAAGCCCCTAGCAGTTTCAAGAAGTGGTACTTGGTCCTTCTCGATCAGGCCACCATTGGGTGCTGGTGTCAGGTCAAATGCGATCAGGTCAAATTCGATCAGGTTCAGCTTAGACATACTGCTGAAAAGTCCCTAGCAGCAAATGAGACCGGCTTCTGGTCGATTCCGACCAGCTTCCCTGCTCAGATAACTCCCCTGCACAAAATCCCGAGCAGAGATTGAGGCCTGTATTGACTCGACAGGTCTCGAGTGGACAACCAGTGCTTGTATCGACTCGAGCAGGTTACTGGTGGGTGCGGGTGCCTGGTCGATTCCGGTCAGGTGCCCAGCGATTCTCCCTGCCAAAAGCCCCTGGCAGAGGCTGAGGCCTGTGTCGTTTTCGATCAGGTGGTCAGTGGGTGCTGGTACACGGGCATCCAGCTATCTTGTGTCCCTGCTAAAAATCCCTAGCAGAACATGAGTCTTGTATCGCATAGATCAGGGCTCATGTTGGGCACTGCGCCTGCCCTGTAGAGTATATGCGAGACTCGGGCGCAGTAAGGGAGCCTGGCCAATTGGGGTCAGGTGTCCTCGCATTCAAGGGCCTCCTTGATGACCTACAAAATCCCGAGCGGAGCATGAGGCCTGTATCGAGGCTATCAGGTCTCATGTAGATGCCGGGTGCCTGGTCGATTTCGGCAAGGCCTCCAGCGATGAGCTCGCACCTCACCGTGGTGCTGGAGTCTAGTAGCCAGGGCATATTGCCTATGGTGAAGCTAAGATGAGCTCCCCCTTATCAATATGATCTGGGTCACCCTCAGCATCTGTGTAAGAGACACAATGTTGCTCAAAGAAATGAGCCAGAGGACTGAACGATGATCTTGTAAGATTTTTCATATGGAGCATGTAGTAGAACGCCGAAGGCTAATATGTATCTGCAAATTTGTGGAATCGAACATCATGTCTATAGCATCCTTTTTCTTCGGATATGACACCACAAATATATCTAATACACCGATATAGACATTCAGAGATGTCCTAACTTCTAAGACTGGATTGATCGAATTCGGCACGCATAAAGGGAACCCAGCGCCAGCCTTCTAATAAGACGGGTAAACTTAGTACGCCTGCAAAGTGAGAGATCAGCGTGACCATCGACTCTTTCCATTTTCGGGGTACCGTAATACTAAAGCATACAGCTGTATTCTTAACTGAAGTATGGAAAAACAGTGGGGTGTGTCGGAAGTAAACTAAGCCGCTGTGCCTGCAGTGAGGCGTCATGGAAAACTGCACCCGATCGCCATAACTGGCATGAACCATCATAATTGAGGTCTAAGTTTATAATGTCTCGCATAGCGCGGTAGGCGCATCAGTCAAAGGATGAAAAGAGCAGAACTAGGATGGTCCGGAAGCAACGATAGAGTAAAAGAGAAACAGGGGCAAACTCTAACAGTCTAACTATGACGAAGGTGGCAGCGACATCCCGGAGAGAGATAAGCCGGGAAGAACCAAGGGACGGCTGTGGCTGGATCAGGAACTCAAGGTCTACTCCAGTATCGGAGGATTTTCTCAGGGGTCCCGCCGGGGTTTTCCCTTGCTCGGAGAACATCCAATCCACCACATCAAATAGCGGAGTAACGATGAGGGGGAAAGTGCACGGCCGACGTCAGAGTTTCGCTTGGGTGGATCTGCAAAGGCTAGGCGGCCGACTAGCCCGATAGTCACAGCACATGCCCTGAGGGTTCAAGACAATGGATTGGCCATGTGTTGAGACGACTGAAATCTCACTATCTTCCATCGAAATGATTCCTGTATCACTATCGACTCCGCATTGGTAAAGCGCAGGCACAAAACTTGTCAGCTGTTTGGACATTGCGACGCGAAGTTGAGGCGACATGACTTGAGACACCAACCTTCATTGACGGGGGACTATGAGCCGAGCTTTTGATGCGCCAAACTTTCTGTAGAACTGAAGAATGGGTGGATCGGCATGTCGTACGATCGGTTAAGGGACCCTAAAATTGGAGAGCCGGGGAATTCTGGGGTTAGCCGTCGGGATTATTTCGGTACGACACAGACTCACTGTCTACTTGGATCTCAGCGTGGGTGCGGCTAAAAAAGATGGCACAGATGGTGGAGTGAGCAACTGGAGGGACTCGGGGAACGCGGAGGAGAGAGGTTTCCAAGACATCGTGGCAGGCAAGTGCATGCCCCGTGCAGTCACGCTTTTCCTCCCCCCCTTCTGTCTTCTCCTCCACATTCCACCTTCCACCTCCACTCTCCTCCACTGTTCCACTCTCCCACTGGCATCGTCCCTCTTCCTCGATTTCTTGGCTTCTCGGTTGATTGTCTTCGACTTCGTTGTAATGACCCCACCACATCCGCTGCTGTCTTGGTTGTTTACTGCCCCGGTTAATTTCATTAAGTCCGATCATAAAAGGCCTCGTATCCTCCGTTTGCAACAATGAGACCAGGCTCAGCTTCCTTCAGACAGCCGGCAACATGGTGGCCTTCTCAGCTCTTTCGGGCGTCGGCGCTCTTTCTTTACTGCTCTCCCTCGTTCACCATGCACATGGAGTTTCATTGAAGGTTTCCACCCAGGGTGGCAACTCATCCAGTCCCATTCTATATGGTTTTATGTTTGAGGTAGGCTGCAGGAACGGCGCCCATTGACAATGCATTCACTAACGATGGTTTAGGATATCAATCACTCAGGAGACGGAGGAATTTACGGGCAATTGCTGCAGAACCCTGGCCTTCAGGGAACGACACCCAACCTGACTGCTTGGGCGGCTGTCGGTGATGCTACCATCGCGATTGATGGTGACAGTCCATTGACTTCTGCCATTCCCAGCACTATAAAGCTGGATGTTGCGGATGATGCTACCGGTGCGGTGGGTCTCTCTAATGAGGGATATTGGGGCATCCCAGTCGACGGCAGCGAATTCCAGAGTTCCTTCTGGATAAAGGGAGATTACTCGGGCGACATCACCGTCCGACTGGTTGGAAACTACACCGGCACGGAGTACGGCTCTGCCACTATCACCCATACGTCCACAGCAGACAACTTCACCCAAGCCTCCGTTAAGTTCCCCACCACCAAGGCTCCAGATGGCAACGTCTTGTACGAGCTTACAGTTGATGGAAGCGTGGCTGCTGGTTCGTCTTTGAACTTCGGTTACCTGACGCTTTTTGGCGAGACTTATAAATCAAGGTTCGCATTCCGATATCTGAAGAGTGAAATAGGGGCTGATTTTGTAGGGAAAATGGCCTGAAGCCCCAGCTTGCCAATGTGCTGGCTGATATGAAAGGATCTTTCCTGAGATTTCCCGGCGGCAACAACCTGTAAGTCCCAACTCATCTAGCAAGGATAGCGACGCTCACCAGAGACAGTGAGGGAAACAGCGCAGAAAACCGCTGGAAGTGGAACGAGACAATCGGCGATCTCTGGGATCGTCCCGGCCGTGAAGGTATGTCTTAACATCAGGAGCGAAACATTCATTCCTGACGGTAAATAGGCACTTGGACTTACTATAACACCGATGGTCTTGGTAAGTACAAATATATGCAAATACCTAACTACGGTACTAACGCTTGTAGGCCTCCACGAATACTTTTACTGGTGTGAGGATTTGGGACTCGTGCCGGTGCTCGGTGTCTGGGATGGGTTCGCTCTGGAGTCGGGTGGCAACACCCCAATCACAGGCGACGCACTGACCCCTTATATCGATGATGTTCTAAACGAACTTGAAGTATGTTCAGCAACAAATCCTATTGATAGCTGAGGTTAACCCTACGGTAGTACATCTTGGGTGATACGAGCACGACCTACGGAGCATGGCGCGCTGCCAATGGACAAGAGGAGCCGTGGAACCTTACCATGGTCGAGATTGGAAATGAAGATATGCTGGGAGGCGGATGCGAGTCCTACGCCGAACGTTTCACTGCCTTCTATGATGCGATCCATGCGGCTTATCCGGACCTCATCCTTATTGCTAGCACCAGCGAGGCGGATTGCTTGCCCGAGTCGATGCCCGAGGGTAGCTGGGTCGACTACCACGACTACAGCACACCCGATGGGCTGGTGGGCCAGTTCAACTATTTCGACAACCTGGACCGCTCTGTGCCATACTTCATCGGCGAGTATTCGCGCTGGGAGATCGACTGGCCCAACATGAAGGGGTCGGTTTCCGAGGCCGTATTCATGATCGGGTTCGAGAGGAACAGCGATGTGGTCAAGATGGCGGCGTATGCGCCATTGCTCCAGCTGGTGAACTCGACTCAGTGGACGGTAAGTCACTGTTGCGCAGCGGTGTCGGATGGTATAGATGAGCTAACGAGTGGTAGCCGGACCTGATCGGATACACGCAGTCACCTGGTGACATTTTCCTTTCGACCAGCTACTACGTGCAGGAAATGTTCTCGCGTAACCGGGGTGATACAATCAAGGAGGTGACCTCTGACAGCGACTTTGGACCGTTGTACTGGGTTGCGTCGAGCGCCGGCGACTCGTACTACGTGAAGCTGGCCAACTACGGCTCGGAGACGCAGGACCTGAGCGTGAGCATCCCAGGAACGAGCACGGGCAAGTTGACGGTGCTGGCGGACAATGACCCCGACGCGTACAACTCCGACACCCAGACGCTGGTCACGCCGAGCGAATCGACGGTGCAGGCGAGCAATGGTACATTTACCTTTAGTTTGCCGGCATGGGCGGTGGCTGTCCTGGCTGCGAACTAGCGTTGACTGGTGCTTGCATGGGCGGCAAGTCGAAAATTATCTGCAGGTGTGATGTCGTGTATTGCAGTATTCTGATTAACAATAGGGAAATCTTAGTGATGAAGCGATGATAGATCCATGTTATATACCTGCCTGTATATAGGGCATCGTCCAATGAGAGGCAACGCCACCACACGTGGCGATACACATAATAGCTTAGTACTACAAGTACTTACTATGCTAATAGTCAGGGAGGAGTAGCACAGAACGACTGTGTGTCTCTATGTGTGACTGACTGCCATGTAGCGGTCGGTCGGGGAGGACATTTGAATGGTCCCAATGAAGAGAACCACCCAACTTCCCGGCGTGTACCTCTGAATCACTCTATACTTCCTGTCATGGCCTCCTACGACAAAACAAAAGAATACTTAGATGGATACGATGAAAACAAGGCACGGGTAAGCGAAGGAGAAAACAAGCGGATTGGTTGGTTGTGACTGGATGCAAACGGGTGGCCTTCTCCACTTGAACTGGGCAGAAGCGAAGACCGTGCGCCGAGACGGGTTCGGGCGCCTTCCGTCTGCAGCTCCCCTCACTTTTTCTCTTTTACAACTGCTCATATTCCCCTCCACTTCTCCTTCTGCAATACTGTAATTATGATTTGACAAGTGCTGACTACTACCATCTCATAGTTACAGGGATAGTACTAGTACTGTCTGCTGGATCTCAGTCCACCAAACATTGTCTGGTGGTTACCATCCCGAGTGTCATCATGGAAAGACACTACTGCATTCTACTTACATTATAGAAATCTCCCCACCCGGCCTGCCATTCGCTGCGGCGGCCCACTCCGCGATAAGGAAATCTGAAGTTTTTTGCTTTAGTTGCTTTTTAGTTTCGCCCTCGCGGTCTGGCCTCGTCGGCCTGCTTTAAATCTCCTCTCATCCCAGCGTCCCGTTTCTGCTTTCTTTTCTCTTTTTTTCTTCTTTGCGCCCCTTGGTCCTGGCAGTGAACGACTTCGGAGCTTTGCGTTCACATTTGCTGGCGAAAAGCTCCATTGGATACCCTCTTTCGCATTTCCTGTTTCTGTTTGAGTTCCCCGTGCGCCTCGTCGCATTCTGCAGCTTCCCCGCCATGTCTGCCGATAATGAAAAGTCCGCGGCTGTCGCCGACGTGCAGCCTCAACCCCAATATTCCACGGAAAAGACTGAGCAGGTACATACTGTGACCGAGTCGTCGGAGCAGACCAGTCAATCGCAAGATCGGGAAGCCCAGCAGGAGCAGCAGCCAACCCAAAGTCGCGCGGCCAGGCTGTTTGCCTACATGAAGACCCGCGATTTCTGGTTGGTTTTGCTTCTAGGGTGAGTGCATATCTTGTCAAAAACCACTTCAAAGAGCGGCCAAATACTAATCAAGAACAGTCAAATCATCGCGCTGGCCGATATCAGCTCCTCCACCTTTTCGTCCCTCCTCTCCAACGCTGGCAACAGTATCCCCGCCTTCCAGACCCTCTGGAACTACATCCTGCTCAACCTCGTCTACACCAGCATTACCATCTACAAGTACGGCTTCAAGAAATGGTTTCGAATGCTTTACCGTGACTGCTGGCGGTACTTTATTCTTTCATTCCTGGACGTCGAAGGCAACTACTTCATGGTGCTCGCCTACCGCTATACCTCGCTGCTCAGTGCCGAGCTTTTCAGCTTCTGGACCATCATCTGTGTCGCCATCATCTCCTTCGTCTTCCTGCGCGTCCGCTACCACATCACCCAATACCTTGGTATCTTCCTCGCCTGCGGTGGTCTGGGCATGCTCATCGCATCCGATTACCTGCGCGGTGCCAACTACCCCGCCGAAGATCAAGTGAAGGGTGACCTGTTTGCCCTTCTGGCCTGCACCATCTACGCCTTTAGCAACCTGTTTGAAGAGTTTATGGTTTCCAAGCGGCCCATGTACGAGGTCATTGGTCAGATGGGCTTCTGGGGTATGTTCATTAACGGCGTTCAGTGCGCCATCTTCGACCGGGGCTCCTTCCACGGCGCCACCTGGAACAACAAGGTGGGCGGGTACATTGCCGGTTACACTATAGTGCTGTTCATCTTTTACACGCTGGCGCCCATCATGCTGCGTGTGTCATCAGCCATGTTCTTCAACATCTCCTTGCTGACGATGAACTTCTGGGGTTTGATCATCGGTATCCAGGTGTTCCATTACTCCGTCCAATTCCTGTATCCCATTGCCTTCGTGCTAATTGTCATTGGCCTGTTTGTGTACTTCATCATGGAGGGCGAGATGGGTGAGGCGAAGAAGCCGTGGCTAGGAAAGGACCAGGAGGGCGGAGTGGATGGAATTGGAACGGGCCGTCGCGCCCAGCAGACGGGACATGCGATTGTCTAGATGTGGGTGGTATGAGAATACTGTGCACGGGAACAAAAGTTTATCTGGTTTTTATTTACTTCAACTTAATATATAGTACTAGTACTAGAGTCTGCTGTGCAGGACGGAATGTAATGGAATATGAGTGATCTTATTGATGTTTCTCCTACTTTCCAACTCAATAGGTTTTATTAAATGGTACTTCACTGTATTATCCACTTGATATGATTGTAGGTTGTTTGACATTCTTCATGGGTCAAGTGCGGAGTACCTCCGACAATACCCTCAAGTAGCGTCTGAGCTGAACAGTCCGCGCGACGTGGTGGAGCCTTGTGCCTCCTTAATAGACCATAAGATGTAGTCATCTTTCATCAAATGGGGCTGTGGTTTAGTGGTATAATATTCCCTTAGCATGGGAGAGGTCCGGGGTTCGATTCCCCGCAGCTCCATTTTTTGTTTTTTGTTTTTTGTTTTGTGCCTTACTTCATGGCCGTCATCTTATCTACCCGAGACCAAACTTCTACCGCAGTTTGTCCTGCTCAATTTATTTTGCTGATTCGGCATAGACAAGTCGGGATCCGTACAGCCATTTACTACACTACTATGAATCATTCTTCAGCCTTACACCTTCACCAGATGGCCTTTTCACCTCACCAACCTCCTCACTTTCACCCTCAAGTAGCAGTCACGGAGACTATAGGTAGTTTATCCAGGTAGGAAACGTGGCTTAGATAGGTTGAATTATGCCCTCATGGGAATATGCGGGATTCAATGTAGATAGGCTGTTTCACCTATCTGCTCTTTGAGTCGTCTATATAAAGCTGCTTCTTTCTCTTCTTCTTACTTTTTCTCTTCTTTCCCAGGAAAATCTTGAATACTATATATTTGAATATATATATCTGAAGGAGGGATGGCTACTTACGATACTTCCTACTAGTAGTATTTATATATATCCTCAAAACACTGAAGCCTTCTCCACCCCTTACGACCACGGATAATCCATTCAGGAAGATTCTTTACATATTGATAAAAGACCCAATGGCATCGAACCCTCTGTAATAATCCAAGGTCACGACAAGTCCTCCTCGTGAACCCAAACACCAAGCCTTCTTCCATCGCAGGCTCGATCTTCTATCCACGCTGCAAGCACGAACAACGCTCCTTTATCGATAAAGACATAGTTAGAGTCCTAATCGAGCAGGTGTTACACTATGTCGCACCGTCAAAGACATGGTAATCACCTCCCTTTCTGGACGCATCAACTTTGACGTTAACAAACCCACACCTCGAGGCTCGAGCATCCATCCCCTGTATGTGGCTGCTGATTGCAAGAATAAGTTACATATTTACCTCGGCAGGCAATCGGAAAGCAAGTGGGAATGATAGCGAATAGCTCAACCACCGGAAGATGCAGGCGATGCTTCAGCCAAAGGAAAAAGACAGATGCAGGGCTGCTGCTCCAAATACAGGTTTTGATCGTTCATCTTCCTGCTGCGGGAGCTAGTGGCACAAAGGGTTTGATGATAACGCGTCACCAGCGACGCCGCAATGGCGGTGGTGGTGGTGGTGCCAGGTATGATACAATACGCCCGTACTTGGAGGCTCGAACTCTCGTCCTGTGCGTGTGGCCGCTGAAAGGGATAAAGCCTCGGTAGAAAATGCAACGGGGATGCTGGGGGTAGTTTGATGCGGCCGATGCGTCGGGTGAAAACGACCATCTCGATATCGAGATGGTCGCGGTTGAGCCATTCGGCGAGGATTAGCTGGAAGGGATGCTCGAATCTTCGTCCTGCGATTGTGTCCGCTGGGAGAACCAATGCATCAGCAGGCAACCGGGCAGGGGTTGCTGGAAGATAGCTCAACCGGCGGAAGATGCGGACGATGCCTCGGTTGACGATGACCTTGTCGATATCGAGATGGTCGCGGTTGAGCCATCTGGAAGCAGCAGGAGGACAGTTCAACTTCCGGTGTTGCAGTTCGGCACCTTGTCGATTGCGCTTGGAGTAGCTGCTTTGTCTCGTGGTCGGGCATCAAAGAATAGATCAGTCTAAAGATCGGAGGTAAGTCTTCTTGTAACCGGAATGATTGGCATTAGCTAACCCAGACCTCTTCTCAATAGTAGAAGGGACACCCCCATCTGCCTCATCCCTCTAAAATCCCAGCAGAAGAAACTTGGGCCAGTGTTGCATAGGCTTCAAGTGGATGCGGGTACCTGTTTCGCACTCATAAGATTTACAGGTCTTCAGCGATATAGCTCACACCTCATCGTGGTGCTGGAGTCTAGTAGCCTTGTGGCGAAGCTAAGATGAGCTTTATTTCTTTTCTTTTCGTGTGAGCGTGGAGATGGGAGTAGATTCTGAATGCGTGGGTTGAGGGGCTGAAGCGGTTAGGATATCCTCAAGAGATATTTAGTATGCGTAGTTGAATACTGTGATATCGATGCATTTGTTAGAGTTGAATACAGATGTACGGCTCTCTCGCGTTTCGATAGATCAAGTAAGACAAAACCCGTGGTACTGCACCATGTGCGATCTCATGCATGGTCGAGCATTAGAAGAGGAAGACCTCAAGGGACATGTCATGTCCGTTTCAATGAGCGGTCAGCTGGTCTGATCACTAAGTAGTAAGATTCTTACATGATTAAAGTTCTTACCCCTCTGCCCTGTATTGACTCTAGTATGGACTGGATCATTGTAAACAAATGATTGCTTTCATCCGAGCAGACTTCCAGGTATAGCAGTGATCTCTTTTGTTGTACAGTTAGTATTAATGACACTCTTGTAAAATAAGAAGAACCTTTCTGGACGTGACAGAATTACTAGGCTGCTTACCGCACCGGAGGGATAAACAGTAAACTCCATGAGGTGATTCCGGCCATGGTTTGCGTGCAATTGTGACTAGTTACATAGGCATCTTTGCATCGCAACCATATCACAGCTATATCCCCTCATTGTCTGACTTCGTGACATCATTCATTTATATCAGTCTCATAAAGGATCCATTGATGCTTTGAATTGTTGTGAGCCATGCGGCATTTCTGAGGCCTGCTACTCCGCATCCTGCAACTTCTGGAGTCCGCATAGGGGAGGTCGAAACTAGCTGTACGTAGAATATGACATCGGTGTAGATATACCAGGTGACTAGAAATCGCTCAATTGTACAGTGTCGCCATCTCTTTGTTACTCAGGAGTTGTGTAAGAATATGCTATTAAAAAACAGAAGATGGAGACAGAGCCACCCGGTTAGGGTCGGGCCGCCCGGGAGGAGAAACAAAAATAAGGGCACAGAATCTCAGTGCCATCCATCATGGGGAAGGGGGAAGAGAGAGAGAAAGTGGCGACGACACACACGACACCAATAATAAAACGAAACTAACAAAATAAATCACATCACATCATGAAGAAGACGCTGCGTAATGATGATAAGCAATCCCACCAATAAAACGGGGGTCACTGATAGTGGCTGACCTGAAGCAATTCGGGGAGGAGACGCCAAGCTTGACGATCACCGGAGCTTGAAAGACCAACGGGACAAGATGACAGGCCCGTCGCACCACGCCACTAACTGGCCCTAACACAACTCGGCCTGAATAGTGCGACGAATGTCCCGGTTCTGGGCCTCCACGATAAGATAAGTCATGGGCTTATCGCGTCATCGGCGCCGATCTCGCGATCAGCTGAAACCAATCATTCAATCAATTTGCATCACCCGACTGGGGGCGAGATTCCAGGGCCAGCTGAAAGGGTCGGCTGCCGAGACTGGACTGTCAGTGGATGCATGTCGCTACGCTGGACGGGAGGGGAGAGAATGACGTCTCAATCTTGGGTCACTTACTAGTTCACTAGCCAGCTAGTAGTTAGTTAGCTGCTGGCTGTGTAGGTGGTTTAAAAGGCTGGTGATTTCTCCCTTTCTCTCTCGTCATTTTCTCTTCATCTTATACTCAACTTCTTCCATACCAATTTCCCTCCACTCTGATCAATCATCATCCATCATGGCTACCAAAATCAAGCTCATCCCTAACCTCAATTACAAGCGATCAGGCACCAAGTCCTATGTGCACTTGATCCGCAAGTACCGCTTCCACCCCACCAAGCCTGGTCCCTACACCCTCAGCAGCTCCATCCAACAGACCGGCCGTCCGTACACTGACAAGCCCATTGGGGGTCGGGCTCATATTCGCCAGCTGGTGCGGAAGAAGAGCACCACCAGCGATGAGGTTGGCGAGGTCCCGGCCGAAGATGTGCAGAACGACTCCATGTACCTGGCGACCGTGGGTATCGGAACCCCGGCGCAGAACCTGAAATTGGACTTTGACACTGGTTCCGCTGACCTCTGGGTACGTTTCCATCATGAATGACCTATACGAGAATCATCTTACTGACAGATGTAGGTCTGGTCGAACAAACTCCCCTCAACCCTGCTATCCGAGAACAAGACCCATGCCATCTTCGACTCGTCCAAATCAAGCACCTTCAAGACCCTGGAAGGTGAATCTTGGCAAATCTCCTATGGGGATGGTTCCTCCGCATCAGGGAGTGTCGGCACCGACGACGTCAACATTGGCGGCGTAGTAGTCAAGAACCAAGCCGTCGAGCTAGCGGAGAAGATGTCCAGCACATTCGCCCAAGGCGAAGGGGACGGATTGCTCGGTCTAGCATTCAGCAACATCAACACTGTGCAGCCAAAGTCTGTGAAAACGCCCGTCGAGAACATGATCCTGCAGGATGACATTCCGAAGTCGGCCGAGCTGTTTACGGCTAAGCTGGATACCTGGCGGGACACTGATGACGAGTCATTCTATACCTTTGGCTTCATTGATCAGGATCTGGTGAAGACCGCAGGTGAAGAGGTCTACTACACCCCTGTCGATAACAGCCAAGGCTTCTGGCTCTTCAACTCGACCTCTGCCACCGTCAATGGAAAGACTATCAACCGGTCGGGTAACACCGCCATTGCTGATACTGGCACCACGCTGGCGTTGGTGGACGATGACACGTGCGAGGCGATCTATAGCGCAATTGACGGCGCGTATTACGACCAAGAAGTCCAGGGCTGGATCTACCCGACCGATACGACGCAGGATCAGCTACCCACTGTGTCCTTCGCCGTCGGCGAAAAGCAATTTGTGGTGCAAAAGGAGGACCTGGCCTTTTCGGAGGCGAAGACGGGCTATGTATATGGAGGAATCCAGAGTCGTGGTGATATGACCATGGATATCTTGGGAGATACCTTTTTGAAGAGCATTTACGCTGTAAGTGTATCCATTTGCTGCTAACGGCGATATTGAAGCTCACTAACTGGACTGCAGATCTTTGATGTCGGTAACCTGCGCTTTGGAGCCGTCCAGCGCGAGGAGTTGCGCCAGAGCCTGAAGTCGGAGTAGACGAGTGGCTGGATCTATTACGGTTTTATGATGTTATGTAATTGCAAGTCAGTGAACTTCTTCGATACTGCTTCCTCGCTCAACTCATCCGTAATGTGTTCGGCTCAAATTTACGAGTCACGAAGGACTACCGGATACCCTCAATAATTGAGGTTTTGGTACAACTGAAAGGTCAAGACCTAGTACGAAAGTCTATCTTTTGGTACACGCGCTTTGGAGCATTACGCGACGTGTCAGTAGTGTGTATCATTTTGTAGATATCTGTAGCATGCATTCCCCTGAGACGGCGCATAGCAGTCACTCCGGACATACGAGCATCAACGATTGGAATACAGTCCATAACACTTGGTGCCGCCTATAATCTCAACAGATAGTGTTTTAGGCAAGTTATCCACTAACGTAACTCCCGGCCGCGCCGGCCACCCGCCCGCACCGGCCACCCCTAGTACACCGCCCAACACGTTTCTACATGCAACAACTCTTTCTATCAAAGGCAGTGAATTAGCAATGAGTATTACAATGATTCTAGGGCGGGTGGCCGGCGCGGCCGGGAGTTACGTTAGATTTTCTATTTTAGTCATCAGCAAATCCAGCCCCCCATGGTGGAGTGGTGAAAGAGTGTTTGCAGCTGTTCCTGGCGCTTAGTGAAACACCAGGCAAAAGAAGATCAGGCTGCTTGTCAGGGACTCGAGGATCCCCTCACCTTCGAACAATATCTCAGAACCTATACTAGATACTAGAATTTCCTTCTGTTTCTGAAAGAACTTCTTTGCCTCTTTAAGCCCTTGCATCATCAGTCCTCTCATGACTTCAATATTGGCCGATCAATTTCTTGAAAGTTTCACGATGAACAACTTGGTCCGTTCGTACTCACATATGCATCTTGAAACCCTGCCAGCAGAAATTAGAATTCAAATTCTCCTTCTACTCAATGTTGAAGGACTTAGATCACTAGTTCAAGCATCACCCGTTTATCATAACCAGTATCTCCTGGATCGCAAGCGCCTCCTCCTCAACAGCCTATCGACCACACTGGGCAGCATTTTCTTCGAAGCTTGTATTGTCCAGGAGTCTAGCTCAGTGAGCTTCTCGCAGACACGCAACCACGATCGAATCCTTGAGTATTTTGGGTCTCTCACGGAAAGGCGCTGTCACTCAGATCTAACGGCAGGACTCACATTGAAAGATGCCATAGACATGGTAACCTTTTATCTCTCGGTCTTGAAACCTTTCGCACAGCACTACTCTGTGTGGGCGTTAGGCAATCTAGCTCAAGAGCCGAAAGCAACACATACGAAGATCGACGAAGACCTGAGTGAATCAGAAGAACACAGAATAATCCGCGCTCTGTATCGCTTTCAATTATGCAGCAACGTATTCGGCGTGGGACCTAACAAGGACGAGCTTGATCTTTTCAGGATAGAGTTTCAACTCAGTGATAGCGATATTCTAAAGTTGCTTGAAGACTTATGGGAACCCTGGGAACTGGAGGAGATCAACTGCATCTATGTCTTTGCGGAAACAAAATGTCGTGAAATCCATGATGCTGTGACCTGGGATTTCAGTGAAAAGAATCCACGGTTTGATGACCAGGAAAGACCGCCCACTCCGGAAGGGGCAGTGAATATACCACGTCAGTAATCCTCTTGATATGCAACTTTTACGTTCTTCTGCTGTATGATCCTAGCTAACTTGCTGACAACCCGCAAATAGAGCACAGCCGTGCTTATTTGAACGGGACTATTACACAAGGCCTCGAGCGTTTGCATACCCTCTTCTTTAAGATTCAGGAGCACTCGAAGTTGGTCAATGTAATGGAGCAGACTTTGGTTCTTTGGCTCGAGGAGTTCCTCGAAGGAGATGTACACGGCGCGTTCACCCACGCGGCACAAAGTGGACGCCGCGCTAGGGCACCTTCTGAGCGAGATAAGAAGGAGGAGCGAAGAGAGCCGTTGCCTTTCCGGGGCGACAGAGTGGACGGAGTTTACCCGCCATTAGCATGGACACTTCTGTGGAAAGGAACATACAGCAATATGTTAGGAAGCTACATACCTGATGAAATCCAAAGGTGGGGGTATGTTATGTGGGATGCGGCTCGGTTGGAGCGCACCGGTGCAAAGGAAGTATTGGAAAGAGAATGGGACTTGATGTGGGGTGAGAATGAAGATGCGAGAGACCAGAGAGAATTTTTCTGAGCTGATCTGGGGCTGTATGTCAAACCCTAGGATCGCTTCCCTGTCCCTGTTAGCTTAGCTTCACTAATATACGTACCGTCGAATTGGGTCGAGGAGGTATCAGACTAAGGACTATCTGAAGAGTAATTAGTCTTGGACAAAAATATTCGTTAAGTAAGCACGGACAAGTGTTCTGTAGCTAAGCTTCCAAACGTATAGTTACTTAAAGGCAGTGTTATTGAGCACGAAGACCAACTTAGCCAAGTACATGAGGGAGTGTCTTTAGTAGTAGTAGTAGTAGTAGTAGTAGTAGTAGTAGTA